AACAGACACGCGGAGAAGTCCTATGATATATTTGCATTTCTTGAAAGGCAGATCCAAATTCATACAGAGATATACTTGTGCCAATTAGATATCTGGGGTCACAGAGACTGATTTGGAAAGATGATATGGTCTCAATTTTACCAGAGCTCATCATAAACACGTGTACGTTTAAAGAATGTGCTAGCTAGAGCATCAAATTTCATCTCCTTTTGCATTCCCCGTGAGGATGACATAAATTGACATAGGTTTTAGGGAGAGAAGATGCCAATAGTTTAAAATTGGATAAGAACTCCTAACCCCAGCAAAAGATATTAAATCTATTAACAAAAGTGAGTATCTATAGCATCAACAGTAAAATTGGCATCAGGCTAAAGTGAACCAGTATAAGCAAGTCCAATTTTTCGTAACCATTCATTAAAAGTTCAATACGCAAGGAAAAGTTGTGTAAATCCTACCGTACGAAAAGAAGACGGTGAGTTTTTAACAAAACCCGAAAGTTAGTAACTTCTTGGAGCTAGAAGTGATATTGTGCTCTAATCATCACGCTGCTTCCGACAATTTGGTTTCCTAGACCTTCTTGTTCGAACTCCCCGGAAGGCAAAAGTTTAAGCGACGTTGAAAAGGCTAACCGAGAAGCCCACCTACAATACCAAGCGATTTCCGATCCCTGTCTTTGTGCTTTTATTCTTCCCTTATTACGGTCTTGTACGCAAATGTATAATGGGTCCCACGGATGGATTTTTAAAGCACCATTACCATTTTGTCTAGCTGTAAGTAATAACAAGGAATAGCTTGATTCAAAATACTTAGCAACGCTTTTGATGGATTATCTCTGGTGCCATTCATCATCCGTCAAAGTGGACAGAAATTAGGAAGGTAGAATAAAATAGCAACTCATGAAGAAGACTGAAGGTTTGCATTTCGCAAGCAATGCAATTTTTGGAGATGGCACTTACGTAGTGTGGGCTTTAACCCTCATTCAAACCAAACATCGCCCACGCAGGACACTGGCAGCTTGTTTAAGGATTAACGCATATAAAGATTCCGATGAATTGAAAAACACAAGGATTAAACTTATGTTGTTAAAACACTTGAAATTTTGGGAAATTATTTATACTTTTGAATCAGCTGATTTGCCAATGTTGCATGACGCGGAATTTCTTAATGTTCAGCCGAGCCATCCCCATGGAACAACTAAGATATGGAATATATGATGCATGCGTAGTGGGGAATTCGCCAAACAAACCTGTTGAAATTACTCCAAGTTAACGTCTGCCAACTTTTTACTACTCTGCGTTACATGTTACTTAAATACTTTTTTCTGTCCACTCTCACTTAAGCTACCCACATTGGTCACTAATGTCGAGAAAGCTTCGACTGGGTTTAACGATATCTTTTTCCCAGTTATAAACAGCTCGTCATTTATTAAAAACCTCCCATACAATCTGTCCTCCAAAATGTGGTATTTGTCTTCCTCCTGTGAATAGTTAAGTATTTAATGCAGTCTGCAAGTGATGATTCATTTTGACTTTAAGACTCACAACGATTTGAAATTTTTCCCTACCCTTGACGCAGATCACTCACCCACTTTTATTTGCGACTATTTCGCTAATACATGCGATAGTGGCCCTCAAGACCTGCATAGGACAGTTTGCCCCTAGCCAGCTCTATCATTTGCAAGTCTACTTTTTCTTTCATGTTAAAGTTTGTTTTCGATTTCGTCGCAGCGCGGGAAGGCATCTGTTGCCAATGCACGAGTGAATGTTTCAAATCCGCCTGGGTTCAATGTAACACTTGAAACTAGGAACAACTTTCACAATGTCCCCTTGCATTCTAAATATATGTCATCTTTGAATAAATGGATTTCAGACACCCCAACTTTATCCCACCGCGGCTGAGTTAATCATTGCTTTTGTGTTCAATCTCAGTATCCTTAATCGAAGAAGATTAGCAATTCATGACAATATCTGACATGTACCTTCTTTTGATAGTAAAGAACTTACCAGTGACACTCTGTGAGGCTGTGTCAAAATTATTTTCAAATTTCAAGTGCTTCGCTACAGGTTTTAAGGATAAAGGCGACTTCTGAAATAGTACTTAGCTAGCAAAATCTTCGTTAGTAGATTTATCCTTTATTGATCTGCACAAAATTGAGGCTATTGGCATTTCCGTAAAAATTTTAACAAAAGATGCGACGGCGGAGGGTTTCTCTGGTCATTAAAACCAACCAGATTGGGTCCACTGTTCATTGGTACTTTAGAACAACCGAGTATCTAATTGCGTGCGCTAACGGAATGTCCATGGTAACATCCGTCTGAATTTCTCCCTACACTACACTTCTAATTTTGAGCAAATAGCTTCTAAAAGAGGCTCGAAACTAATAATCCAAATCCAACGCCGGCTTAACACAAGTAACACAATTGAATAGTAGAAAACTTCACACAATGCAAGCTCTCGAACGCACCCATTGAGATACTGAATGGCGTGCAGGGCCTCCTCATAGTTAGTCATATTAACAAACCCGAAGCCGCGGCACTTTGAGCCAGGCCCGTGTTCTCTTGCCACACTAACAGAGCGCACCGCCCCAAATGGACCGAATAGACGCCATAGTGTGGCTTCCTCGGTCTCCGGCGCAAGATTGTTCACGAAGAGGCACCAAGCGCCTCCTCCGCCAACAAGACCCCCAACCCCACTCCCCAGTTGGCGAATGAGGGTGGACGGAGGGGCTGGAGGCGGTGCATGCACCGCGGCGAGAAGCGGTGGCGGCTGAGCTCCTGGCGACACGCAGGTGAGTGTGGAAAGCGTTGTAGAGAGGTCCTGACCAATCGGAGCCGCGCTCAAGGGATACCTAAAGTAGTCGATTTTATGGGATTCAGGTTCATTTTCTCCTTGAAAAGAGCAAATTTCTTCCAGTTGTGGAGTGACAGAGGTAGGTGGATTATAATTGGGTTAGGTCAGAAACAGTGTGACGTAAACTAAGCAAGCGTTATCAAGCGCATGAAGTTAATCGAGAGATCCGATTGTACAAAAAGTATGACATTTAATTAGGAAAGTCCATACCCCTGGCGTTTAATAGTTACAGAACTCCTTTTCTCAGGTTGGTCTGAAGCCATATTATCACCTCGAAACCTCATAAAGATTATAAATTAATTTTCAGACACCCATTTTAGGGTGATTTTTGTGGTCTAAGATAAACTACAAGTCAATTCATGCTTATGTATCGTACTAAGCTGCGTCCATCAACAAATATAGCAACCGAAATTCGTGATTTTCCACTTGATAATCACTTAATCTGGATGTGGGTAATGAATACACAAGCCGTGAGCCGATGCGATAGAGTGAAAAGTTCATTTTCACTGACTAAAACGCACAAAAATAAAACACTTCAACAACCTAAGCTGAGACCAAAGTAGGAAATGATTACATTAAACTATGTGAAAGTGGATGCACCTCACACCACACTAAAAGCTGCAGCATGATTCCAAAAACTACTATTAAAGCAATGCCGATTCACTTAAAAAAAATAGTAAAAGGTTGAGAAAATGGACAGTTGGAAAATTCTTGACAGTTCTTGTCACTTAAATCATTCGAGAGAGTCTAAAACAAAGAAGGCTTTAAAAACTTGCTTTCCTAGATTGCTATGATACGTCCTATCGTGTCATATTCAGCCAGTCATTGGTCTTTTGTGCTATGACGCTTGGACCGAACAAACCCGTCTGGGCTACTGAAGGGATTCCGACATGATAATTTTGCACCGCGAGTCCATCATCAGATGTAAAAATTGCTTCAGCAATCAGAATCAAACAACGGAAAATTTCATGAGAGCTACGCAAAAACGTTTCATTACATGCTCCCGAATACTTCTCCTGAGACAATGACAAACAAGTTGTCATTGAAATTGTACGGTGATAAACTCTACGCACTTGGCTCCTCTGCTTTGCGGTGAACATGCAAATAAACGAAATTCCAAAATAATTCGACCACAAAGATCAGGTAATCAAAACATGGTCACAGTAGAAGGAGTCTGTGAGGAATCAGGATTTTAGGCAGAAAATTCATACATTCACATCCCCTCTACTGTACAAAAATCATGACAAAGCCAGGCTAAATTGAAAAATATGTAGTATGCGCAGTACCAACTACGATACAACTGACATACAGTTGCATACACACCACCAAGCTGAGAGGATGTGTGTGTGTGGAGCAGGAAATACAGAAGAGGGAAAAGAGAATGTCAGAAGCCGTATTTTTTCTCACCATTGAGTGACATGAAAAATGTTTCCTCCCAAACTAGAATCTGTGAAGGAAAGCTCTTTTTAAAAATTTCGTAATTAGTAGATCGATTTACGTTAAGATTCTAAGTGTGGACTGTACAGAAGGGAATGAAATTTTTACAAGAAAGCTGCCCGTTAAATGTAGGACCGTGTTTAAGCAAATCAAGCTCTAAAACCCTTCGATATGCTGATTTAGTGACATCAGGATGCTATAAAATTACAGTCATGTAGAAAAAAACGGAAATGACTCGTGCGATAGCTTAAAGCCCGATTCACTAGGACAGGATTTTTGGATTCAGCCGTGCCAAATGGCCTGTGTTTGTGGTAGATTTTTCACCTTCATTCGCCAGGCCTAGTGACTTGGTGAAGTAACAATCTGCAGTCGGGTATGCCTGCATTTCATTTATTCACTTTAGCGTATGTTTGGTTTTTTGGTAAAAAACTGCGATAGTTGTGTAACACTTAAGTTTTTTGTTTAAATCTCGGTTTTGGTAATGAGGTCACTTTGGTCTACGCCGTTGTACCTTCGCTGGCCCAAACCAGTAGCCTCAATCCCTTCTGTAAGTCGACGATACATGTTTTGTTTAAGTACTATATTTCCTTTCACCTTCAGGAAAGTCCTAAGGGCGCTACATAGATGGCAACAGAAAGCAAGCCCATTCTTAAAGGACAAATATCCTGATTTCTACTGCTGGTTGATAGACTTCAGTTAGGCAGAAGAAGTCCATATGCTGTGGATGGGAAAATATGTTACGACCCCTAGCAGAAAGTTGGAAAACAACATACACCTTTGGCAACCACCCCAGTCCCGTGTTCTACAGGAAAGCCATTAACGACTGAAGTGAAGCTAGCCGTGATACATCTGGTAAAGTTCGTTATGGAGCTGTCTACAGTGCCAGAATGGTGTCGATTGAGTGGATCCTAGCTGGAAAGGACTCAGATAGGTATGGCTTGGCAACACTAAAGTGAGAACAACGTGCAAGGAAGAAAAGACGTATAAGCCTGTTCCCAAAGAAACTATAATAAAACCCGTTCTCCTCTATATGATTATGGTTTTGGGTTAGTGTCCCTATGGCTAGCGATAGACTTGCGTGTAGACCAGTACATTTCGCCATCCTCGAACCCAGTTCCCCTACAGGACGAAGCTCCATATGCAGTTGAATAGCCAAGAGGGATCAGTGGCGTTACAGTCAGGTATCTTTTCAGAGGCATGGAATATCAACAACTAGTAGAGATGGCTCGTGATGACCAACGCAGGTGATTTACTAAGAAAAACACCAAAGATGATACCCAAAAGAGTAGAGGGGCTATGAGATGCTCGGGTTGTTCGTTTAACCCCAGTTTTTGGTAAAGAGGCCGGATGGCTAGGCCTCTGGCCTACACTAGTAGCCCCAATCCCTTCTGTGTGTTGACAATGCATGTTCTTTTCAAGTATTATGTCTTCTTTCGTCTTCAGGCAAGTCTTGGGGTGCTACATTTGATCCTATACATACAGTCTATTTAAAGGCCAAGCTAATATTCAAAAGACTTCTCAGTGTCAAAAGAAGAATGCAAGAGAAATCTTGTCGGTATGAGAATTTCAATCCTGATAAAGAGACGCTAGAAAAAGTAGGACTTTGTAAACTGATGGTAAAAAATACCAAACGCTTAGGCATTGTGGTGTTCAGTGTTACCTTAGAAATGAGTAAATTTTAACAATAAGAATCAGTACTTTAAGGGAGATTATTAAAACAAAAACTGAAAGCCACTGAAGGCATTGAGTAGCCACCTTTAGAAGTAAAAATAAAGCGTAACAGTGAATAAGTGAATGCTATAAGGCATATGAGAGGGAAAGTGCTAAGTTAGCAAGCGGAGGCCGTTTCATTAAACAAACATGAATCAAGTGCGACAAGGCACAA